ATGTTGGTCGCTGCTGCTCCAATAGATCATTCTGTTGGCACCGGTTTAACTTTTACTATATTAACTTTGGTGAATTTATTTACTCTATGTTTATTGATTATAGTATATTTTAAAGGAAAGGAATGGAGGGGATAAAATGCATCATGAAAGAAAATTGATCTCTGATTGATATAATTTTGGGATTGATATGGTTTATTACAAACCAAACAAGTAAAAATTTATTCAAAAAGAAAAAAATTTTGTACCTTTTTAAATTCATATGAAAGAAATAAACAATTTTCGTAACGTTACTAAACCTTTTTACAGTATTATTCATTGTATGTAATCATTCGGAAAAAGGCAAATTTCTTGTTTTATCAAAAAGAAATAAAATTCCTACAATTTTTTTTAAATTATATTAAAAATTATTTAAATATATAATTTAATAAGGTTTTCATTTTTAATTACTATAATATTAAAGATATACAAAATTTTCAACTTTAAATATATATATTTTTTTTACAATAAATATATTTAATATATAAATTACAAAAATAAAGTAAAATTAAAAATTTTAGCTTTTATAAAGAAAAACACTTTTATTAAAAAATATTATAAATTTTCTTTTATAGGATATTTGCCAGAAAAATGGAATTCTAAAACTTTTTTCAAAATAAAATTTTGATTATATTAATTTATAATATATAAACTTTAATTGGTAAAAATTATATTACATTTAAAGATGGCATAGTAATTAAAAAGTTGCATCTTGGTAAGTTGCAACTCCTTGTAAATTTATTTTAATATAAAAATTACTAAATAGTTGCAACTAAAAAATGTTAAAAATGATTATGAAAACCATCTTTAATTGCATTCATTTTTTTTTATCCTAAACATTATCATACAAACAATTGTTACTTTATAAATATAGTTTACAACAATCTTAATGTCTCTAATAATAAAAAGACTTTAATTTCAATTCTTCTTTAACTTAGTTCTGTCTTATGTAAAGAATTAAGTGAAGTTATTTTACCATTTCTAAATACTTTAAATAAAGATTAAAATAGGATTTATAAATATTAGATGTTTACTAATAATATTAAACTATAATCCTTATTTAATTTATATTAAATTCATTATTTTGATATTATTGCTTTACAAGAAACAAACTTTTCATTTCTATACCTTTTAAAATTTATTTTCTCATTCAATCCTACAATATATATTATACTTTTTAGTACCATTGATAATGGCTAAAAATCAGGATTTGAAATAGTAAAATAGATCTCATTATTAAAAAATCCTTTGCTAATCATATTTTAAACATGTTACATATAAAAAAAGTTATCAATTCACTAATTTCCAATTCAAAAACAAATATTGTATTAACCTCATTAATGTTTTTATTTCTTATTTAATAATACTTTTTAAAAATCAATTTATTCTGAAATCATAAACCTCATTAGTAATGCTAATTCTTTTAACATATCTGTTATTTTCATTAAAGACTTTAATACTAATTCTTTTAGATATCAAAATTTTAAACACATTAATTTTTTTTTCAAAAAATTAGATATTCACACTTAATTAATTCTTTAGATTTAATACCTAATAAAAATAACATTGATTTTTTTACATTTCATAGAATCTATAACCCCTTTACTATTAATTATATTTATCTTCATCTAATCTTGTCATGCATTTTCTTGATCATAATGCTATTCCTATTGATTCTATACTATCAAACCACTATATTTTTTCTCTTAATTAATTTCTAAAATCTTTACTCTTTTTACAATTCATTTACTATAAATAAAAAATTAACATTCTTATATGATAACATCTCTAATAATCTTTAGACTAAATTTAATAACAAAGTTGATTCCTTAGTTCTAAAATCCACTCTTGCATTTAGTATTAAGTTCAATATAAATACAGAATACAAACTTACTTTTATCTAGAATTCTCTTCAAAATTGCATTGTTACTATAGGAAAAAGCATTCTTTTTTATAAGTTATCTTCTTTTCATCAAAAGAATATACATTAAAAACTCACCAAAAATATTTATAAATATATCAAGATTTTACAAAAATTACTAAAATCTCATGAATTTCTATTAACAACTAACATTACAATAATAAATAGCTACCATTGTATTTGAAAGACACTTTATTTTCTAACAAATATATTATTAATTTAAATACTTCCTTATCTGTTTCTTTGATTTCAATTATTAGTTCACAAGATACTATTAAAGATCTTACTAGGATTTTTATAATAAAAGCAAAGCTAAAAGAAGATAAATTCAAAAAGAAATATATTACTGCTACAATCAATAAGTATTGTGATAACTTTGATAAGAACTAATCTGTTATATATGACTCGCTCTTAAATGGATATAGAATTACTATTACACTTGACAGATGTGTAAATAACTTCAATAATGATTTAGAAATTCTAACCAATGCTGCTAAAATTAAAAAAGGATTGCTAGATATTTTCAAATAGTTGCCAATTTAGCTCACTACTATAACGAAATAAATGATAAATGAAAACTTATAATAAATCAATCTCTTCTATCATTCTAACTATCTATAATTTATTAATGGCTTCTCTAATTGAACTTGAATAAAAATCTATCTTATTCATGTTACCTAATGATAAAGTTACAGAACTCTCAAAAATATCTAATAAAATGTTAATACATTTAGATCCTATTATAAAGAAATTTCTCTGAAAAGTAATCTGCATTTATCGTTACAAATGCTTTTAACCCTTTTTACAATATAGAACTTTTTGTAAAAAAAAGCAATAAACCCTTATAATAAAAAGATTATTTCAATAATTTATTAATGATTGATTTAAATGATTAAAATGAATAGGAATTGTGCAGGAATTTCAAACGGAATTAGCAGTAAATTAGATCTTTTATTACTACAATCGATTAAATAAAATTTTTTAATTAATTTTTAGATTATTTTGCATTTCAATTCTTGTATTTTAATATAAATTAAGCGACAAGAATTTAAAGGTATTCTAACTCAGATAAGTCTATTATTCCATATAATGAATACATGCGCTTATGCTCAGGTAATTATATCTGTAACCTGTGAACATCTAAATGAATATGGAATAAAAAGAATTTATTTATCTGAAAAAATTACTTACTAAAGTATAACAATAACTAATTCAAGTTCAACACCATATGGGTAGCACGATAATGATCTTGAAAGATGATCGTTCTAAATATGATAACATAAGAGTAGATAATATATATACGATAAAACTTTTCTCCACTTTTACAACAAAAAGTTTGAGATCAAAATATCAAATGAATTTTTCATCGATATAGAATATTTATTCCTGTTTATTATGGATCCCATCATCGTACGTTGGTTGCAAGCAAATATTTATTTCAACATAGAAATTTTTTATCTATAAATTCTTATCCTTTTTTTTTAAGGAATCGGATTTGAAGAAGCAATTTCTCATTGAAAGTGGTGAGAAATCAGATATTAAATGACATTATTCTAGAATTCACAATCCAAGGGCAGTACTTTACGAATTATTTCATAACACTTCATAATATTTTACAGCACGGAAACGGGCTGGCGGTTCGAAAGCTTGGTCATGATTCTCTTCCTATTAATATATAATAAATATATTAATAAGTTAACTTAAAATTATGATAAAATCTATTAATTCATACCATCGAAACTTCATCGCCAACGGAAGAAGCTTTATAACTTTGATTGAGCTTTTCATCATTATAACGAACCTTTTCAAGTTCTGCTTTTTTTTTCTCCTATTAATATATAATATTAATACGTTAACTTAAAATTATGATAAATCTATTAATTCATACCATCAAAAGCAAATTTTCTCTGAATAAAATTTCGATGTTAGGTAACTTTGTTTGTGAAGTGGCATTTTGTGTCGCACTAAACAAAATAGTTTCATCTGTATTCGTTTCGGAAGGATCTGTAGAAGATGTTGATATTGAGTCATGAAAGTATTTACAACGTAAAAAGCATAATATTACTGACCTGATGGAAGTATTCCAACTGAGTAAATTTGAGATACAGGAGCAATATTATTATTCGAATAAATCGCCGATGTTCCCGTTGTAAATGGTTGAATCTGTCCTTCAGGTGGTTGACTGACACCAGATATTTGACTTGAAAAATGTGTAAAATATGTTTAATATACAGGAATGACATCAAAGTAAATAATAAGTTTCTACTAACCCCGGTCGGTATGGAGAAATAATTAAATATGGTTGATCTAAATTAAAGCGATGAAGAAACTGACTGTGCTGGTGAGGTATATTATGTTGTGCATTATAACCAGAAGATTGATCCGCTGTTGGAACATTTTGCATCATTGTTTGATGTTGAGCAAGTTGCTCCTTGGTTTTAATTTTTTTTCGTTTTTCATCATTAACCCTAAAAATCAATTTATAATAAATTGAACAAATAATAAAGCAATTTAGATTTCAACTAAGCTTAAAGAAATATAAAAATAAATCAAAAATAAATCAAAACAACACTATAAAGAGCTCTGAAATTGGGAACAAATTAAAAATACATCAAATTTAAAAGATAAATTAATTATCCTTACATTTTCGTATTTCTTTTATTTATTTCTCTACGCCCTCGTACTGCATTTTCTACCCTAAAAATCAATTTTATTAGATTGTACAAATAATAAAGCAATTTAGATTTCAACTAAGCTTAAATAAATAATATCAACAACAACACTATATAGAGCTTTGAAATTGGGAACAAAAATTAAAAATACATCAAATTTAGAAAAAAATATTAGTTATCCTTACGTCGTAATAACTTTATTATGGATATCTTTAGCATGCTTGGCCATGCCAAGCGCCGTTTTCAACGACTTTTTGCAGTGAGGGCATTTAAAGTGCATGTCCCTTTGATGTAAGACTAAATCTTTTTCATCATCAAAATACCTTTTGCAATACCTATTAAATAAGTAATGTTTACTTGACAGTAATAAACTTGGATCCTTTAAATTTAACCGAACTTACCAGCACACTGGATGATTTTTCTTGTCGATTTTCATTTTAACGAATTTGGTTAATTTAAAGAAAAATTAAAAATATTTTCTTGAAAGAAGAATTATTGTCCAGCAGCGTAGGACGATATATGTTTACGATGATATGATCACGCACACGATGGATTATGTGGCTAATTTTAATAATATTATCAACCAATAGAATTTTAGCAATAATTAAAAATGATTTGCAAAATTTAGCCAATCACAACGAAAGCCCGCTATGCGAGTGACAAATAGGATTCAATTATATTTCCCTTATATAAAAAGTTAGGGAAATATAAATAAATTCTCCTTCGCCTTTTTTTAAATAAAGAGAGCTATTAATAATAGAAATTATACATAATAATTATCAATATATTGTAAAAGTTATGAACATACAGTATTCGCAAATTTGATTAATGATAAGTTCAATCTTAATTTTCAATTAATTTCGATTGGCTCGTTCAACCGATGGCAATTTTCTATAAATATTATTTCAAATAGATGAATCGAATTATTTTCATAATTTACCCTTTATAATTGGTGGTCCGTTTAACCAAATCGTCTTTTTAAGATTAAAGACATTTAACTATACATAAAGTATAATAGGCCCACTTTCCCGACAATATATCGCTGAACAACGTATAACATAGTCAGATTTTTTTTTCGTTGTCCTGCATTATAAGTTTTTACTCCCTCCGTTCAAATATATTAATTAAAACAGTTGATTTAACGTTGAACCAACAAGTTATTATTAGAATATCAAAATATCTACGTAACATTATGAAGGCTTTGATATAGAAATGATAAAAATGAGTGACCATCAGTAATGTTACCCAGACATTATACAAATAGGCCGGTAATTTAGGCCAGTTGACATCTGATGCAAATCGATACCTGACGCACAACATATATAACGGAGACTTTTCTCAAATGCTGGTATTTCTACCTCCATGGCTTTGATACGGAATTCCTTAAAAATATCAATCGCTTGCGGCTTGATGACGGAAAGACAATTTAATCGATTCATGATGTTAGAAATGGTCACTTTGACATATTGAATTGTCATAAAGGTCCGAATTGCCAATTTAAACAGAACCGTCCGTTAGAATTGATAGAAATCTTCTATTCCTCAAAATATTACAGTATCAGATTTAAGATACTAAACTATCAACTTCAGAAACACGAGTTAACTTGTAAAATTTTTTTATGCTATTTCAAATAAGCAATCAGTTATAAATGAATTAGATAATTACTTTGATTCTAATTCTCACGATAAAGTAATTCCATTGGAATGGTGAAAATCTCATGCAATCTGAGTATCAATTTTTGATGGCTCGGTACTATTTATCTTTAATGTCAAATTCTGTTCCTTGTGAGCAGTTTTTTTCAATTGCTAGAAAACAAATAACACAAACAAGAAAAACATTACATCCAGATACAGCTCGAACATGTTTATGTTAAAAATCGTGATAGGATTAAAAAATAGGTTAAATAGTTAAAAATTAGTTGTTTAAAAGATATGAATCAAAAAAATAATTGAACAAATCTATTAACTGGATTTCTTCTCAAACTAAAGATATCAATCACTATTACTTTTACTATAGAACCTTTGATACCTGATAAAACTAAGAAATTCTTCTCAAAGAACAATATGCTTTTCCTCTTGTCAAACAAACTATAATAATTTTTTTCATGTTTCTAATAATAATAATAGCATTATTTCTCCTATTGAAACTACTTTTTCTAAGATAAGAAAGGGTAAACAAAAACAAACATAGTCTGACGAAATGAAAAATAACATAATACGTAATCAAAATAACAATAAAAATACTATGCATTTTTACATGATTTAACATATATATATAAAAGGAAAATATATTCATTATATTGGATGACTTTACATACAACTACAAAATCAGTAAGTTCTTTATTTATTTTAATATATTAGATTCCCTTAAAAATGCACTCATCAAATATATAAAACACAACATTACTTATATTTAAAGTAATAGATTTTATTATAAAATAACAGAGGTAAGATGCTGAAAAGATAAGATAATTATAGTATTAGATATTCTCTTATTTATCTTATTTATATAATCATCTATAATTTTACAAATATTTTAATATTACAATTGAATAAAATTAAGTAAGACTTATTAAAATAAAAGTATCTTTGAATTTATAAAATTATGCAAAAAATTACTTACATTTATTATCTATTCCAACTACTACCCTTATGCATTCTGTTTATACATAATTTTTCCATTTGTTTTATAATTGCTATGATAGTTAAAAATTTTATCTAAAGAAATTTTGACTATTTTAATATTTTCTTATAGATTATTTGTAGATAAATTTACAATTTAGTTTTCTTAATAATTAATATAAATTAATATAAGTCTAGATGTCAAATTTATTTATTAGTGTAATATATAATTTTATTATCATAATTATCTTATTTAATATATTATCAGTATCTAGACCTATTATATATTGATCATTTGAAATTTTGTAAAAAATTTTATAAACTTTAAAAAGTGAATAATTCAGCCAGTTTAAGAAGATTTTATTGGAAAAATCATCTATTATTTAATATATTTATTATATAAATAATCAAATCATTTTTAAAACTTCATTTTTTCTATATATTTAATATTTTTCATCTATTTTTACTTAATTTAAATAAAAATTAAATTATTTTTGGAATAATAGTGCAATTTTAAAATTTTCTAAAACATTATAAAAAAATAATTATTTAATTATAAAATTACTTAAAAATATTTAAAAATATTATTTGATTATTTCCTATAATAAATATAATAGTCTTATATTATTTATATTAAATATTTAAGATATATTTAAAAATATTATTTGATTAGTTTCTATAATAAAAATAATAAATTTATCATTATTTATATCAAATATTTAAGAAATTTTAACAAAATTTAAAAATAACAAAAATTTGTTAAAATATTTTCCTTTTTCATCTTAATAAAACTTTTTTTTGCTAAATTTTAAAATATATTATTAGTTATCTTCTTAAAAAATGTTTTTAGAATGAATTTTGTAATTACAAAAAAAAAAAATTTTTTAAATGTGATGAATTGTTGAAATAAATAAATAGATTATTGATAATATTCTATTAATTATTTAATTTATATAAACAGTATATATTAAAAGTTTAATAGATAACTATGAAGCAAATTTTTTAATTACTATTTCACTAATAAATTTAATTATAAAACAATTAGTAAAATTTGAAAAAACATCACTAAAAGTGTAGCATATCTTAGCTAATAAATAAGAAAAAAATTACTAAAAATCTAAATAAACACATTCTAATTTGTAGAATTATTTTAACTAATAGCAAAAAAGTCAATTTTTATTAAAAAAAAAGAAAAAATTAATATAAATCTGAAAAATCATCACCAAAAAAGTCACATATTTTACCAATAAGTAAGAAAAGTCAATTCTTATTAAAAAAAGAAAAAAATTAATAAAAATCTAAAAAAAACCCTCCAATTATGTATAGCATAAAAGTCTACATTTATTATAAAAGAAATAATTAGTAAAAATCTGAAAAATAATTATTCTGATTTGTAGACTTATTTTAACCAATAGCAAAAAAAGTCATATCTATTAAAAAAAAGCAAAAATTCAAAAAACCATTATTAAAAGTATTTAATTTGTAATGGTAACTTTATCTTCACCTAATATTATTAATGATAAAATTTACTTATTGCATTATAAAAAGGATTTTATAAATCATCGTAATGGCAGTAAATCGCTAGTCCTCAAATTTTACGTGATCACGTGATATCGCAATCAAAATTTTTAAATTTTTTATTTAATTTTATTAGTTTGGTTATAATACAGAGGGCGATCAAAATTATCCGGCCAGTTTGTTTGGCCAAAATTATGCCGATCATCACATGTTAACATA